GTAACGGGCGAGAATCCAGCAGACTAATTTGGGTCTGGCTGGGACAGCGCAGTTATTATTTTCCTCTGGACCATCAGGCAGAGGACACACAGCCATCTGCTGCACGCGCATACACAAACACACACGTCTCAATTATATCACTAAGAGGGCAGCTGCAAGCGCTGCCTGTCGTAAACACACACACACAACGTTTATAAGTACATGAACATGCACACATTATACTGTGTTGTTGGATCAACAGGGTGTTACAGAGAGACAGATTCTCCTGCTGGCGGCCTCTACAGAGAATGACAGGAAAGGGACACAGACAATGTTTCCATCCACCTGTTTCATGAGCATTTTGAATGAGGATGTGAAAAACTATGAAAACAAAAAGATGACATTGTATGCCAATCCCACCCCACGCCGCAAAAAAGTTGTTAACCTCTATGACTGCATCAATCTCTTTTTTCACTCTCTCTTAAAAAGGCGCACACAGTTAAATTCAATCCTGTCACAGGTGAAGAATGGCAGTATGTACAACAGTTTGTGAGATCAGAAACAAGTGTGAGATCAGAAATGTCACTTTTTAAAGCATTTTTTTCAGGTCAATTTTATCATCTTGTAAGCTATTTTGGTAAAAATCTGGACAAAAGCTCAACATGCAGAATCAAATTCAATTTAAAAAAAAAGTTAAAATGGACCCATCTGCACACTTCCAGATCAAATCAAATCATTTTGATCAATTGTTGGATGCCACTAGACTAACTTTGCATGATTCATGATCTAAAATGCTCCCTCCCCTCCCTTTAAGATAATTTTCTTCTGATTGGAGGTCCCTCCCAAATAAGAGGTTTTAAAAGCTACAAAATCCTGCATTAAAATTCCAAAATGAGAAAAAAATTTAGCTTAAAAAAAGAAAAGAAAAGAAAAGAAAAAAAAAGAAGCATGAGGTGAAGTTGAGGGAGAGGTGGGATGTTAACTTTTCGCAGCAGCCATGTTTAATTACAGCTCCACTCTTTGTTAATGACTCTATTAATAGGCTGTTTGATTGGCCGGCCACGTCCCCCGTCTCCCTGACGAGACAGCAAAGAAACGAGTTAAACGGGTAAATCCTCTTTACACATAAATCTGCCTGAAGATTGTTTCAGCACCGACCACCAAGCGAGAAAATTCATAACCTCGTCAATTTGTTAAAAGGCTTAAAAAAAATCCTCCCTCACCTCCCCGCCACCCAGTCATTTCTCCTGCACGCCACGATCTAATTAAAGTTGAAAAATAATTAGCGATATATTTTCCTTCCTTTAAAGAGAAAAAATGAAAAAAAAAAAGAGGGAAGGCCAGTGATTAAAGGAGAAGAGGAGGAAGGGAGAGCAATTAAGAGGATGGAGGTTGACGAACTCTGTGTACACATGTAGGATTACAGGGTGAGACTCGAACATAGCAGAGACAAGCTTGATCTCTCCCTCTCTCTCTGTCTTTCACTTCTTCTTCTTTTTTTTTAATCGGTGTGCCACTTCTTCAGCAGCTGATAAAAGCTGAAAGAACAAGATAACCAGCTCAGCGGAGCTGCCGGAAAAGCTTACGGGACCCGATTTGACAATTAATCAATTATTTGATAGAAATCATCAATCAATCTAAGTGGGGGGAATTAATCCAAGAGGTGGATAGAGAGAGATACAGAGACACAGTGATGGAGAGAGAGAAGAGGGGGAGTGATGTACCTTCTTCTTTAATTTGGTAAACTGATTGGCTTTTTTCCTTGTTTCCATATCTTAGAGCTTCCTATATCCAATTTACAGAAACAGAGTTTACAAACTAATGGAGAGAGAGAGAAAGGGAGAGCTACATCACGGCACAGATGGTAAATATGAGTTTCTTTCAACAAAACAATGCTCAGCTCAATTTACAGATATTGGAACGTGACTGTCAGAACATTATACACGAAGACCTCCAGTCAAAGAGGCAACTCAGATTCATTATCAAACATCCTGAGCTCCATTAGTAACCTCAGACTGTACAGAGGTTACTCTGTAACATAGTTTTCAGTGCAACTGGGAATAGAGAAATAATACACATGCTCAAATCCAAGACCTAAACCTAGCATCACAGGACAGGAGACACAAAGTTATTGGTGTGTGATTTGCTCCAGTCGCACACACTCGGGGTAAAGGTTGATACAACGTTGAAGATTACAATGACTGGACAAACCATAGATCTTTTTTTTTTATGCATTGAACAATGGTTCTGCCGGATGTTTCTTTCCTGTTAAAAGGGAGTTTTTCCCTTTAAACTTTTGCCAACCCCCTGGGGGTCATCTGATTGCTGGGGTTTTCTCTCTGTTATTGTATGGGCTTTACTGTACCTTACAGGAGTGTTTCCCAACCTTTTGGAGCCATGGCACATATATAGCAGAAATGGCTCAGTGTGTCCCCAGTATACCTTATTCGCTTTCTTCTGATCACTACTCATGCTAGGGCCTTCATCTGGGTTGGAATTTTCTCCAAGATCCAGGACAGATTGACAAAGACTTTTTCTTTTGCAATATTTATCTATTGCTATTATGCGCTGTGTCGTCTCACAACATCACTATTATGTAATTTCTTCTTCGTCCTTTTCTGTTTTACAGGTAGTTGGCAACCCATTTAATTAGAGCAGGTATTTGTACTGCCCTCTAGTGGAAGAGAATGTAATTGTTCTGGCCGTTACTCACACCTATCGCTTAGAGTACTAATCAGGTGGAACCAGTTAATCTTTCACGGCACACCTAATCATTTGGTTGGGAAACACTGCCTAAAAGTATAAAGCACATTGAGAAAAATGTTGTTGAGATTTGGCGCTTTAAAAATAAAAATAATATTCAATTTAATTGAATAAATGACAATTTCAAATGCCTAGAGTAAACTAGAAAAGACCCAGCCTAGCTAACTTAGACTGGATTAGTTGGTGGGGTTAGGTTGAATGCTAATTTCTCATAGCTGTGAATGTGAGTTTGAGTGGTTGTCTGACTCTTTGTCTTAGCTTTGCCACCATCTGGTGACATGTCTGTTGTGAACCCTGCTTCTGGCTGGGATACCTGACTGGAGTAGGCTCCAGCACCCCTGCAACCCTGATAAATATAAGTTGAAAAGAATGGATGAATATAAAGAAATCCAAAGAATAGTTAATATATACTGAAGGATTGAGGGGTATTTGGGTTAATTTCAGCTTTTTAGTCCCATGACTTGTTAAGAAGTTATAGAATAAAAAATAAGGAAAACAATGAATCACAGCACAGCAATAGATGTCATGTCTATATATAGTTATAACATTTCCCGATCTAATCCTTATATTAGCAGAATATCACACATCAGTGCTTTCCACCAACTGTTACATGCATGATTTGTACGAACACTTTCTGATCTGCTAGTGCTATAAGTAAGGTTTGGCTAACATTCTGAAAATTCTTCTTGTATGTTTGAGAGTTTCACAAATCTCTCAAGAGTCTTTTTAATATTCATGCTGCACAGACACAAGGACACAATCATTGTCAGTTGTTCTCTGAAGGACTGTACGAGCGCCTCGCCTTACAATCCATCATGTAAACAAGTAAACATCGGTTGCTGACCTTCCAAATTGATTGTTACTGCCTGCTACAGTCGTATGCAATCAGGTGTTGGAATACGTGTCATTTTCCTGCCTGTGCCTTAGGTGTCCCTCTGTACTTCTGAAGCCAAGCCAAGGAAGAAAATACTATTTGTGTCACTGTGTCAACACAAAGTTTAGGGACCAAGTAACAAAGATTAGGCTAAGCTCACAAAAAGATTGTGGTGGAAAAACAACATGCACAAGAAACACAGATTCTGTTGTCAAAGTGATAGACTTTTTACACCAAACAGCTAACTAGTGGGCAGTTTTCACACACACATGTCCCTCAGTGCGGTTTCAACAAATATGTCCTCTCTGTTTGCATGGGGGCCTGGCAGGTACTTCCTATAAAACCAACCGAATGTAGCTCCTTGTTGACGATTGGCTCTTTGATCTATGTCCCCTTTCACAAGTCTTTGCAAGTGAATTGAAAAGGGTGCTTTTCCTGATTTCTACCTGTTGTGCAGTAGATGGCGTTTGGCACGCTGCTGAGACCTTTGTGCAGTGGTGCATTCAGGCACTGTGGGAATCACCAAATGTGGAACTCAGCTCATTAATAACATCTTTTTTTTTTGTAAAGAGAAAGCTTAGAAAAATGATTTGGCCTTAAAGATGACAATACAGATCACAAAACCAGTTGTGTTTGACAGCTGATGGCTACATTTCAAAGCAAACACTGTAGGTTAATGAAACAAATTTGTTTCCTCTTATTAAAATTAAGTCAGCAAAAGCAGACAAACATGTCTAATGATGCTTTTTTTCCTTTTTTTACTCTGTATTTCCTGTTTTCATGAACAAATATTGGCATTTCGTACACAAGCTGACAGAAGCTACAATGTAAACAGGCTGATATGACAGTTTGAATCCTATTTAATTCAGCAACACACACACACGCACACACACACACACACACGGCTTGTCAATACAGACTTATTAGTGCCTCCAAGGTCGATGTGTCGACCTTCAGGATGGACGCCTGTCTCTATTAACAGGAACTGGGGGAAAGTGAACCAATTGAGACACAGAGCTCGTCACCAAGCTGACAAAGTACAATGACGTGCCCCCACCCCCATCCCAACACATACACACACATACACGGCAATAAAATATGCATTGTCGCTCACTGCACAAATCAACAACCGTCCGACGAGCTGATGAGATTTTAAATGAGCCTTAATTTGTTGGGAATTGTCTTTGGTGACGATAGACGAGAGAAGGAAGAATGATAGAACAAGAGACGGACTAAATAAACACCAAGAGACAATCAGAGATAAAGATGGAGAGACAGAGAGAGAGAGACAAAGGATCGAAAAGAACAGGACTGAGCTTTGAGATGCTTAATGTTTTTTCTTGACATAGCAGTGACAAAACAGGCACACAGGTGTGCGACTTACCTGTGACAATCCCAGGTAGATGGAAACCGTCTCAGAGATGTAGAGGAAGCGCCCCTCTTTGTTTAGTGCAAATACAAACCCATCCAGAGACTGAAACAGAGAAAAAGAGAGGTGGACGTTAAATAGACTTCTCAAAAAAACTTTCTTGGGTACAGAGTGTAAATAAAAGATGGCATACGAGTTCATCCATTGGTTGTTTTTTTTAAATAAAAAGATGAAAATTGTGTTGATTTCCATAAAACTTGAAACTGCTGATTAAGACAATAAACTCATCAGAAAAAGGTTTTCTGTGTTCATAGAGGAAGGGAAATGAGGGTCATTCTCTCACAGACTTCTACACAGTCAGAAATTGTTTTGCAGCCCCACCAGTAAAAAGAATGTCGATTTACTTTACTTCTTTCCTTCTATCCTTACTTTAGGAATTAACTGCATATGCATAAAACATTTTTTTAACCTAATTTTGCATGTTCACGATATTACTTTAGTGAGTTTCTCTTTTTCTATTGTTTTTAGTTAACAGCTACAGTGTTTTTCCACACTAGCTTTTAGTTGAGTTTTAGTTCAGCAGAATAACCTTGCTTCAAAAGCAGCTACCGACCCAACAAGTCAATAAAAGCCCATTAAAATGTAGCAGCTACAGCCACAATACTCTTGATTGTGATTTCTTTTTTTCTTTTCCATCTCCTTCTTTGTGTTGTCTCTGTCACTTTCTTACCAACTAACCCCCCGCCCCCACTGTCACTTTGTTCTTGCCTAAAAAGATACAAATTCCCTACCTCTGCTGCTGTTAAACAATGGATGGTGGGGCTGTGTTCATGAGGACATCACAGAGCAGGAGGAAACAGTCCAACATAACACAGCAGATGGAAAATAAAGTAACTCATATTTCCTCCTGTTGACAATGTGACAGCAATGAAAACAGAAATCTGACAAATTTTCCAGATGTCACTGTGACATCGACATCTTTTCATTATTCGTAGGTTGTTTTAAACATTTGCTTTCAGTTCCTTCATTAAAAACAAATCTCAAGATTTAGCTGACAAGAGGATTTTTTTAAAAAATACATGGAAAAGTAAGTCCCTCTACACACACACACACACACACACACACACACACACCTCCACAAAGACATCCAAGTGTGTCTAATGGTGTATTTCCGTGACGATCATGGTGCCACACTCGACTTCAGCAGCAAATCACACATGCAAAGATGACACACACATGCACATTTACACAAACGCACACACACACACACACAAGCAAATGCACGTCTGAGTGTGTCCAATGCTGCTGTTATGGGAAGATCATGGCAGAACACTCGACTCCTTGAACACAATACACTGGATCCAAGCGCACACAGACACACACAAAGGCAATGATACTCCAGAGGTCAGCCAGGTTAATTACATGTAGCGTCCTACTGTTATTGGTAATACACGGTTTCCTCCTGTGTGCACATGCATGTGTGCATGCTAGTGTGTGTGCGTGTTATATCTTGACACTAAGTGCATACTGCACGGTGTGTATTACTTTGGGAGAGAAAGAAGTGCAAGCAGTCTGAATCATTTAAAGGGATTGAAGATAACTGACTCAACTATAAGGTACAGTCCAAGACAATGTGTTTTGTTTTTCTTTCATCCATTATTGGTCACATTATTGATCATGGATCAAAGCTATTGATCCAATAAAATGATTTAACATAGAAATACATTAAACTATCAAACAGCTACCAGAATGACTCCCCTTTTGGATGCTTTGATACTTTGAGGCTTTTACATTAATCAGAAAAGTGAGACAAAGAAAAAAGAGACTTTCTGGATTTTGACAGTTCAAATGTCATCTGTGTAGCAGCTGAGTAGCACCTTCGGTGTGACTGTTGGGTATTTAATTTTCTTCTTTCTCTTTGTCAGATATAAAGTGCTATTTGGAGATGGCCTTTAACCTTTTATGCCTGGCTAATTATTCTAATGCTTACATGGAGGTGTGTGGGTATGTGTTGTCGCTGCACCCCCACCGCCTGTGTCCGTTTAGTCTGCCCTCTCAGCTAATGAGATGTTAATGAGATGTTAATCATCAGTGAGCCGCATCAATGTCCATCCATGCTGGGTTCCTCATTAACACACATCCTGACTCTTTCTAAGTTGGTGTGCGCAAGCTTTTGTGTGTATATGTGCAGTTGGGCACATGTTTGCTGTGTTTCTCTATCTGTGTGTGTGTGTTGTCAGATTACGATCCAGATGGTTGTTCTCTGTTTTGATGCCTTTCACTTTAAATGTCTTTATCCTCTAATAAGTTCATTATCCTTAGAAGACATTTAAACGTAACAGCTAGCTCAATACAATATTGGTTAGATATATTAATCTGGTCCCAATAACACACAGTTTATGAAAATATGACTGGAACCTGTTTTTGTGCTTTGCATAGAAAACAGAAAAATATAAAATGCATTCACACTACAAGTGACTAAATTGTAAAACGGACCCTCGGGTCACCACTGAAGTGCTGCTCTTGGACTTGCCAGTATCATCTCTGGGCTTGTCTTCAAATGGACAGATAATCCCAAGATATGGTTTATCTCTATATGATTGGCTGATGCTTCAGCACATCAAGCACAACTCTGATTCATTGCACATCACAACCATCAAGCACTGGCACGTGCCAGGCATCAGTTTGTAGCTTTGTAGCACCATTTTCCATTGACATTACTAGTAGTCAGTTGCCTCTGCATAGCTAGTGTGAAAACAGCATTAGTCACTTTGTTTAAATCAAACCAGCTGGGGTTATGAGAGCCTGTGAGCTTTGCATATGCTGAATTTGTTCTTCCTCATTTGATGGGATAAAAAGTGGAAACAATTTACAGAAGACATGCCTTTGATAAATGTGCACTAGAACAAAGATGACTGAGACTTTTGCAGAGACACTACTACAAAGAAATGGAACTCAGACAATCTCCAACACTGTAATGCCACAGATGTTGGTCGTTCCTTCTTTCCCTAAAAGCCCCTCGACATTATATCCGAGCCAGTCCGGTGACTGGAACGATATAAGCTCATAGTTGAGCTTTTCAATAGTTTAAAATGTGCGATGGCAGACATCAGAGAACAGTCCAAGAATAGGTTTAAGAAGCTGGAGATTTGCATAATCAGATTTTACTGATAATTCTATACATGAAGTTTTAATAATCAGGCCGTTATTGGAATAAAGCTCTCTCCATTCACATGGCTAAGGGTTTGGCCTTGTTACCATTACCACTTGTGTTTTTGCTTTCTCTCTCTCTCCCCTACCTCTCTGCCTGGGCGGAGCTTACTGCTGGCTCCCGCCCTTGGCTCACACACCTGTTGGCGATCAGCTGATTTCCCGACTACTATTTGAGGCTGGGCCACAGATCTTGTCATCGCTGGATGATTGTGCTACTAACGTTAGTCTCTCTTCCCAGCTCCCGTGGTCTTGTACCTTTACGCCCTACCTTCGTGACTTGTGAGTGATTTTTCCCTTTCTTGTTCCAGTTTACCTTCCCGGACCTGTGACCTTCCAGCTGTACGAATGTGTGTGAGTTGGATGTGAGGACGTGAGCGAGCGTGAGAGAGAGAGCCTTCTCCTAATCCCTTGGAACCCTGGATTTTTCTCCGTCACTGTATATATTATCGCACTGGTGTGTAAATAAACGGTGCTCTGAGACGTCAACCTGTTCTGCGCTTGAGTCCCTGCTTTCAGATTGTGACAATTTCTTTCTTTCATTTAATTTTTACTGTGGACCTATTGCAAAAAAAATAAGAAAAACAAAACAAAACAAAAAACCTTAAAATTTCTATAATCAATAGTGTGAAAACACAAACTTTCCTGTCATTTGATTGTTTATCAATTACTCAATTACTGTGGTGGGGTATAAATGCCCATGGGGCAGATCTTTATCAGCAGGAAGCACTATTAAACTTGCAAATTATGTTAAAAGTTCCCATTTTTTCTCTCCTTCGTATATTCCACAGCCATCGAAGTCTTTGCCAAGCGGATTCTGACCCTCAGGCCTAGTGTGTGAGACAACTGCTCTAGAAAAACTTTCTTTGTAATGTTCAAAACTATGTAACAACCATTAAATTCACAGCCTTAGATGAACCATAATGCACAATATGTGTGAGAAGTAACTATTAGAACCTATGATACATCTACTTTGCTCAATTTTGTTAACAGAAGTCTTGTTGAGAGCCACTGAATAGTTACTATATTATAATATAAATGCTTAAATAGTTCCTGAAAAGCTAAAGGGGTCTAATAAACCTAAGTAAAGCCATAATCGGTTGATAGTTAGTCCCCATTTTCTTCAGCGAAAGCTGCTGAGGTTTCTTGGAAAATTGTGACACAGCTGGTACGCCTCTGTCTTTTTGCCCCTTTATACAAACACAAGCCAACAGGGGGAAAAGGCTGAGATGTGGAGATAATCACAACCTGTGTTTTTCTTTTTACAGTTTTATCATCTTGTCTGATTGAGGTCCAGGTTTAGCAACAAGCAGCTCCAGGTGAAGGAACGCAAATCTGCCCATTTCAGAGGGATTAAAACGGATTAATTAGAATTGGAAAAGCGAGTTGAAAGGTGGAGGCACGTGTGTGAGTGTGTGTGGGTGTGTGTGTAAATTATGCTGATATGAACTGATGTAAACACTCACACAGACAGATATAGATGTGCTGTAAACAAACATAACCTTGCTGACTGCTTTGTTAAGTCCCCGGTTGCCTCCCAGAGGTTAAGCAGGCCTCTGATTATTAGAGCTCTGAATCCAACCAGAGCACAAACCAAATTTTATTTTTCTGCTGTGAGCTCGTGGTTTTTCCCTCAGCTTCCTTTGGTTTACACCAGAAATTATTTACAAGGTCGACAGGGTCTTGAAAGGTCGGTGAAAAGTTGTAAGATGCACAAAGGTCAGTGTAAGACTCAGAAAGCAAGTGTTTTCAAGCCTCACTAACTGACATTTTCAGCATGAATAGATGCCATAGTTGCACACTGCTGTTAACTATAACTACTCTTTTATTTATTGTGAACAGAGGGAAGCAGCTGTAACATGCAGGGAGGTGTTATTTTTTCATGGCAGAGTGTG